CCTATGTGAGGCTTCCTATGGAAAGTGGAAACTTTAGTAGTCCCAAAATGGTATGGCTAGACTGCAGCTACAGGTTTGTTATAGGGAACATATAACTCCTTTGTTGAAAGAGCTCCACTGACTACCCACTTCATTTCTGGCCACAGTTCAAAGTGATGATTATGATCTATAAAGCCTTATGCAGCTTAGGTCTAGACTATCTGAAAGCACATATCTTCCCATATGAGACTGCCAGAATCTTATAATCTTTCGGGGAAGGTTTCCGTCTCACCACCCTCACAGGCTTGTGCGGCCCGGGCACCAGAGATTTGGCTGTTTTGGACTATTGAACTCCCACTGAAGTGAGGCTTGGTTGGCCCCCTCTCTGTCCTCTTTTCACTGGCAGGCAAACACCTTTTTTTATAAACAGACTTTCAGCCTTTAACTGGAGGATGTTCAATGAGTGTGCTGTATTTTAAATATGTAGTATATGTTGAATATGTGTTTAATTGTTTTAAATTAATGTTCTAATTGAATAGGTTGTTTAATGCTTTATTAAAACTTTTGTGCCACATATTGTTTTAACTATTTTAAATTATATTGTAAGCTGCTTTAGATCCCTTATTGGGAGAAAAGTGAGCTATTAAATACATACATAAATACTTGCTCAGTCATCAGCTGTCAAGGAACTATGGTAAGTGGGAGGATTTTACAATATTTTACAATATGAATGGTATTTGACAGCTGATGAAGGAAAAAGGAAAGAACTAGATATTCAACCATGGTCATAGAATTTGAAATCAGATGTACAGGTTTTGAGACTGGAGTCACACTTAACAACAGCCATCAGGCATAAGAGAGAGCCAATGTGGTGTAGTGCTTTGAATGCTGGACCGCAACTCTGGAGATCAGGGTTCAATTCCCTTCTCAGCCATGGAAACCACCTGAGTGATACTGGACAAGTCACATGCTCTCAGCCTTAGGGGAAGGCACTGGCAAACCTCCTCTGAACAAATCTCGCCAAGAAAATCCCATGATAGGTTCACCTTAGGGTCTCCATAAGTTGAAAATGACTTATGACAACAACAACAGGCATAACGGCAAAGTGGGTTTCAGCTCTTTCCAAAAAGGCTTAGAGGATAAAAAAAAGCATGGCAGTGATTTTCAGTTGGTAAAGGGTTAAGATATCATGTTCGAAACTGCAGTCACAGCAGTTGCATTTTGTGAAACAGTATTTAAAAATAATTATGTTATGTGTAGTTTCACCCTGAGGAAGATGACAAAGATGCATCCCTCTAAGGGCCACTTTTACATGTCTATTAATTCAAGAGAGTTGCTTTGCCTGATTAATTGCAGAAACACTTCTTAAAACAGTTTTAACTCAATGATTCATTTCTAATACATTCTCTCTTAGCTCACTAGCTCTTCCCTGCCCCAACACCATGCTTACCTTTTTTTCTGAACAGTAATAAAACTCTCAAAACCTGTGGTCTGAAATGGAGTAAGGGTAAATTTCATGACAATTCTCACACCTGTGTCCTCAAGGGGAATCAATAAATGCAGGCAGATTTGGTATTTCCCTGTTGGCAAATGAAGCTTGCAGTTTTCATCTACACCAGGAGCAGCCCTTATGTAAATTTAATGGATCTTAATTGCATTCAATTGCCCTAAATACTTTGCACTACAACAAGAATAGCTCACAATTATATATTCTTACTTAGAAAATCCATGTTCTCTAGCAAAAGTGAGGACTACAGCAAAAGCTTGAATGTATAAGATGGGAGAGGGGGAGTTGGCCAAACAATAGATACACAGGCATTCCCCATTCATGTGCCAAATTTTTAATGGGACTGTCAGGAATGAAGATGTTTGCCTAACCTGCCATGGAACAAGGTAGGAAACATTTCATTGTCTAGATGTTGCTAGAATCAACTCTCATCAGCCTGTGACCACTAGTCACATTTCATTGGTATGGTACAATAGGAGATGTAGCTGTCATTTCAGAATTAACTGACAACAAACCAATGCTACACATGCACACTAGTGAGCTGCCAAGCACACGTGAAAAGTCCCATCCAAAGAGCCATCACTGTGCACATGTATATTTAGTGTGTAATATCTCTTTTAGTTGTGTAAATGCATACACTGACTGTTGCCCTGAGATGTTCCAAGTCTGGAACGTCTTTTTCATCTTTAACCTGTGAACTCAGAAGCTGCCCTTTTATTTTATTCTATTTTATTTTATTTTATTTTATTTTATTTTAAATGGATCAAGAATATCATTGAGGCAGTGAAACTGGTGTGGACTCTGCTCTTTTAATATAGATGTGGGGTACTCTAATAGGGTACAGACTGTCCATCCCACAGCCTTCTGAAGTCTATGGACATTATCACACACGGCCCAGAAACTGAAAATAGAGTGGAAACGAGGCATCCCAAAAATAAACGGGAAATAAACCTTGTTTCCGCAAACGTCATTACCTTCATTGCGAAATAACAGTAAGTGTATCGAACATCCACACACAAGAGAAAAAAACCCGTAAATGTAGTAGAAATGAGCCTCTTGCACATGCGCAGATAGAGGAATGCTCGCTGGAACCATGGCTAATGACAGGGAAATGCTCCCCCAATACGTATTTGGTTATCATACGTACGGTAAATGTGAAATGATCCTCATCGCACAATTGCAATTCCTCAAGAAACCGAATTTCAAAAGTTCTCGGTTCTTTCCACTTTCTGTCCACTTTCTGTCGGGGTTCTGTGCAACGTCATGTGAAAACACGGGCAAATAATCCAGTTTTGGTTGGGATTTCGTTTGGATTTTGTTTGGATTGGGCCCCGTGTGATAACGTCCTATGTAATGTTAGGGAACATGGACATACCCTGCCATGAGCCTATGCCTCCAGAAGACATCTGGCCTGTAAAGCTGGACAAGCTAGGAGGTGACCAGAGGAAGGTGACTGAGATGATCAAAGGTCTGAAAGCCAGACCCTGTAAGGAACAACTTAGGGAACTGGGTATTTTTAACTTGGAGAAGAGGAGAGGTGATATGATAGCCATCTTTACATGTCTGATGGATGGAAAATGTGAACCAATGTCTTCATCCAATTCAAATCACAAGAAAAGAGGATCTACCTAAACTTTAGGAAGAACTTTTTTATGGTAAGAGCTATTCAACAGTGGAATAAACTGCATTGGAGGTGGTTGACTCTCCTTTTATGGCAGTTTTTAAACAGAAGTCAGATGTCTATCTCTCAGGAATGTTTTAGTTGCCTATAACTACATGGTAAGAGGTTGGGTTAGATGGCCTTTGTGATCCCTTCTAGCTGTATGGTTCTACGATTCTAAGTGTTATATGGTGGAAAATCAATCCCTTCACCCCAAACTAGTTCCCTGCCTCTGAATTGAAGGTTCAGAGGTTCTCTCTGTTATACAGGTGCTAACGTTCTCTTACAGAGAGTAATTCCATCAGTATTGATGGAACCCTTGATCTAGTCCTTGGTCAAATATCACTTGCAATTAATTCTGTATCCTGGGAACAAACCCAACAATGAAAGGTATATTACACTTCTGATAGGCACTCAAGGTCAAAAAAATTTGAGCAATTCTTTTCAAGCATGCAGGAGGTAAATGTGACATGAAGCTTTATAATTTTTCAACTGACAGTGGTGGAGTCGTGTACATCAACTGAGCAGACCATATTTTCTAGTTCCTGGTATTTATCCCATTATGATTCACCCTGTTTTATCATCAGAGCCCCATGGAGCACGACTAGTAAAAAACAGTGGGTACTTCATGGGCTGCCTGAAATTTCCAAGAGAGGAAATAGTTATGCTTTTTAATGTCACCTTCCTCCTCCAGATGCATTTGTATAGAACATAACAACATCAGCTAAGGCTTGCATGTTAGCACTCATTTTCTTTCCAACCAAACTAAGGTTTTGAAATATATCTGAGCTATTCTTGGCATACAGTCCAAGAGAAAAATATGTTCAAAGGATCTGACCTGTGAAAGGTGAGGCATTTCCATGGTAACTGCTATACATTCCCTAAAAAAATCAACCATGGGGTGTCAGACTCAAATCAAATATTATTTTTATTATTAATTAATTACATTTATTCATTCATACCCCACCTTTCTCCTAATAACAGGGACTCAAGTTAGCTAACAACATATTTAAAATGATACAAACTGAAAACAATACAAAAGCCTTAATAAAAGTAATAAATATAGGATTTAAAAAACAATTTATAAGGTTAAATGATTAAACATTAAAAATAGTTTTAATGTTTTTACTTGCTGCTGGAAGGAGAGCAGGGATGAGGCCATCCTGGCCTCTCTAGGTAGGGAGCTCTAGAGCCTGGAAGCAGCCACCAAGAAAGCCTTCTCCCTTGTTCCCACCAAACAAGTCTGAGAAGGTGATAGGAAAGAGAGGAGGACCTCTTGAGATGATATTAAAGCTCTAGTGGGTTTCATAAAGAATAGACCAGTGGTGGGCAACTGTCCAGGGCTTCGGCACAGATTCCGCCCAGGATATCTGGGATGGTTGCACACCATTATTGCCCCCTTGCCCCTGAGAAAATTTTTCCCCAAATGCCCTTAGGGATACTTGGGGGAAAATCTTCCCATTTTTAAAACCTTCTTTTGGTTCTTTTAGATCCTGGATGCGCCATTTTTCCTATAGCAAGTAACCCAGAAGTCAACTATAAAGTGATTTCCTTATAGGATTAAAATGCCCTGGGGCAAAACATGGCAAGAGTGCTCCCCAGAGCTCCTAGAGTGTATTTGGGACACCTGGGGGCAAAAATCCACCCACCACAAAAAAACCTGGGAGGACTGGAATTCACAGAATTGGACTTGCCAGTCTACTGTTCACACTTACTCCTGTGACGAAACCAGCATGGCAAGCAGCTTCTGCTCAAATTTCCTCTTGCACATTAACCATTAAAAGTATAGGAGATCACTCCAGATTTCACTCTGGCAACCTTACAACCAGTGTGTCAGACTCAGGCACTTCGTTCTGCAAAGTGTGCTGGATATAGATATTACATGCAGCAGAACAGTGTTGTGCAGTGGTCCGAGTGTTGGATTAGGACTCTGGGAGACCAAGGTTTGGATCTCTGCTCAGACATGGAAGGCCTAATGGTGGCCTTGGGCAAGTCACACTATCTCCTTAGAGCAGGCCTGTACAACATATGGCCCGGGGGCCGCATGTGGCCTGCCAGAGGATTTCAGGCAGCCTGTGAGGATGTGG